AAATTTTGACTGTTCATAATATCTGGAGATAAAACAGGAATGACAGTTTGGATATGTTTTGAATTTTTATTCATAAAAGAACCTAAATATATATTATATTTAATGTTTATTTAGTACAAACACATTGAAATATATTTCCAATTAAAATTTAAAATATTTGAGTAGCAAGTTTCACTCTGAATAACCCCATCAGTCTGGAAAGGGTTATTCTAAAATGTTGACTTTTCCAATATTGTAAATACTGAATTGAATGTTCTATGTGACAGAGAACAGCAACACCATCTTGTGATTTCTTAAAAGTTTAATAAATTCTCTACACAACTACAACCCACTGTTGACTTGCATTATTTTTATGACAACATAACACTAGATATTCAAAGGTATTGGAACACATTAAGCCAACAAAGGCTTATCACAGCAAGTTTGAAGTCTGACCACAATTACTCTCAGATGTAACAAGAATAACACACACTAAAGTTTTATTAAATTTTGTTCATAACAGATATATTTTGAGCTTTCAGTTTCATTACAAATTCTATTTGATTACCCTACCTTTGGTGAAGAACCATTAACAATACCAGGTTTATTCATCATAGATGGGATGCTTGGAGACTGTGTTCTACAGCAAAAATAAGATAAAAATTTCAATACTTAATTGTCGTGAAAAAAAAGAAAACAAAACAAAGTGTTAAAAAAGCAACAACTTATAGGTACAAAAAGTTTTATTTTACATTATATAGCACAAATTATGGTATAATACAGATTAACTCAATCAGCAAGGATTCGGTCCCTTGGACCGACCTCATAACCATTCTGTGTTTGTTATAGTTTTCATGCTATAACTTTTCAACTAGTAAGTGTACGTTTACGAAATTTGGCATATTAACAGGAAACATTACAATGCTTTCATATGCAAAATATAATTTTTTTTATAAAGTCTTAAGGATTGTTAAGCAACGTTTTTCTCATACCTTTTTTCTTTTCACATGTTGTCTATCCAAATTATTACTATTACTTTTATGCATCAGAAAATTTTCAACTTTCACATGTGAAATCTTTATAATGTCCAGATAGTTATCAAATGTTTCTTACGAAAAAAACCTCATATTTTAACTGTTATTTTTACTAACGAATCTCTGTATGGGTTTGATAGATTTGACCGATCTTGTAACTGTCACAAAAAATTAGGAAATAAATATAAATTATGCCTCTTTCATTCTAGAATGACAACAAATTATAACACGAAAACATAAATGTATAGACTAAATAGCTTAAATCTCATAACATTATACATTTATATATATATTTATTATTTTTATTATGTTGACCTTTCAACCGTGCCTGGCTAACAATACAGAAGTTACAATAATGCAGCACATGTGCATTCATGTTACTGTATCCAATAATATAAAAGTGACTTTTAGTCTTTACAAATGACTTGTCTTAGCTGCGTTTTAGTAGACTACTATTTTGTAAAATACAGTCACATTTCAATTATTATACATTACATATGTATATATAT